AGATTAAGAGTAGACAATAGGGATGTGAGGATGTTTCTAGCTAGATACAAGAACATGAGTGCAGACAAAGATGAATGGCTACTAGAAAAAGATATTCCCGATGCTAATATCCTACTCCGAAAATTCAGGAGTGAGAAGAGATCTACCTGATGCTTCATTTCTTGAAATGAACCCCTTTTTGGTGGTAGGGAATGTCAGCCTTAGAGCCAGCCAAGCTGGCCAAAAGACTGCTTAAGTCCTCCCTTTTCACTCAAGTCCCTACTGTAACTTTTTCATCTCAATCTTTTATTACTTTCTGACTTCAGAAATGAATTTTTCTGTTAATTTTAACCCTAGTCACCACTACACACTTTTGCACTACTCTTCTCCTTCATAGACTTTGTAATATTCCACAGTACCTTGTGAAATATCAACCAAGTTGGAATTCCAACTCTCTACCACATGTACATGTTGTGATTATGTAATCCAACTCTGAAAATTTTCTCAGTAGACACTGAGTTCGCATTTTCAGGATCTTCAAGGTTCAGACCCACCCAGAACCAACTCAGACCAGAAAATCAGCAACCTTCAACTTGGATTCACCGCCGTATCATCGCCGTGTTATCGTTTGGAGTCCTTTACTCTTTGGAATCTTCCCACTCTCAGTGTCAGGATCACCAAATAGTAAGTCATTCCATCAAGTCAAGCTTGCATCTTTCTGCTAAGTTTCTTCTCTGTCTCTCTGAAGGAACCCTTCATTCTGTTTCTACTAAATACTTGCCTCCATCATCATCACCTCAATCCAAGTCTTCTTTAAGTCATCATTATTCTTTGTTTGGTGGTATAACTGAAAACCACATAGGTTTCCCTTTAAAGAACCTTGATCTTTGATCTAAAAAATAGTGGTTGGATTGACATATCAATACCAATAGCCCTTCTCAGTTTCATTTGATTAGGAGGCGTAGATTTATTCCGCTAAAACAACAGCCATCCTCTTAAGGAAAGTAAGACTGCATTAAGACTTGACTTTAAAATAAATAAACAATAAAAATATTATTCATTTCATTTCTTTTTCTCTTTCTCTTTCTTTTCCTCTCCTTCTAGTTGTATTTCCTTATCCCTCAGAAATATATCTAGTTTTGCCCCCCCATCCTTGTGTCCTGCCGTCACTTTAGAGACCCAGGCTCACAGCACCGGGTATCCCTTGGGATACCCGGATACCCGCCAGTATTTCAGGTGGAAGGGTGCATCTGCACCCAAATCCGCACCCGCTGGCGGGTATCCGCCAGCGGATAGCGGATATCCGCGGCGGATTATCCGCGACCATCTCTAGAGACTATGTGGCGGCTCCAACTGAGGAAATTGGCAATGTTGAAGAAAAACATGTGGTGGCTCCAACTGAGGAGCCTGCCAAAGAGTTGAAGCCTAGGAAGGCAGTGGTATGTACATTATCTGTAACATCATATAGCTTAAAGATGTAACTTCATACCCGGGTAACCAGAGTGGGTGCAGGTACCCACCTCATAAATCCAATATTGTGGACGCCCAAACCCACCAGGGCTGGTACCCAGGTACCTGGGGCCGGTACCTGCGGGTTTTGAGGATTTTTTTCTGGCAAATAAGCTCAAAAATCTCACCCTTGTATTGCTGCATGACTAATTATATGACTGAAATTGACTAGATACATGAGCAACATAGAAATAAATGAAAAATAAACTGTTCTATTGGACCTGATATTCTCTTCCCTCATCTGCCTCCTCCTCCTATTCTTTGGCTTCTTCTGATTCTTCTAACTTTCATGTCTTTTCTTTGTAAATCTCTATTTGCATTGAGCCTTGGTCTCTGCCTTTATTTTTTTTATTTTTTTTATATCTCCCTCTCTTGCACATTTACTTGGACCAATTATCAAACACTTGTATTCTTTTCTCTCATCTTTAAAATATGTCAGCTTAATGCATGTAATCTATTTCTTATTTATTTTCTTGATGTTGATGAAAATTCTCTGGTGAACAGGACCATTATGATACATTATCAGGGTGGGTGTAAGGTGGGGGTACCTTTCTGGGCACCCACATGTTTTTTTCAGCTCAAATGTCAACACCAGAACATGCACCCAGCACATTTTTCTGGGTACCTGATTTGGAAAACAGGTACCTGCTGACATCTCTAACACATTCCAAAATTGGCAGGGGGCAGGACAAAAAACCTTGCTAATTGTCCAATTCCAAGCAAGTGTACCACACCATTGCAATTATGAGCTTAATGTTGTTAATATGTATTAGTAAGATGGTTTGAAGCTCTTGTATTTCCAAATAAGACAAGGTTTCCTCTAAGATCATCTTCAACAGACTCGTGACCCCAATTTAGCTAGTTGCACAAGTTTTTGTGGTCCAACAGACTCACCATCCAGCTTGCCAATATCATTCAGGGTTGTCTCAACTTGATAAAACCCTTGGCTTTTGGTGAGTCTCCTCCAAGCCCAACAACACACCAACACTTCAAAGTGGCTGTCCACACCACACAACCATTTGACTCTTGTATGTTGTCTTCATCCAACAAAGAGCTTGAGGTGATAGACCCCACCCTGGCTCATATGGTCAAAACTATTGATAAAGCCAACAATGTACATAATCAAATCCAAAGCAGCCAAAAGCTCCAAAAGGGTGACCCAAATAAGATCAATTGTTTCAAAGTCTCCCTTGAGTCAATGTCAGTTGATTTTCATTGATGCCTGCCACTGATCCTCAATTCCTCCCCACTCCTTTTGATTCTGAAGAAGTTTAATGATGTATGTATTGATTTACATGGCAATGGTGTAGGTGAATGATCACACCGTCCTCCTTGTTGAGAAAGTGAGTAATCATCTGATTGGATGTTGACCAAGGATAAGCCGTATGGCAAAAAATTGAAGGGGGGATTAAAGAACCACAAGCTTTTGGATGAAAGTGATATTAGTTTATCTACAAAATAAGACTGGAGAAGACCTGAAGAGCACAAACCTTTTGGATGAAGGTGATCTTAGTTTATCTACACAATAAGGCCTGAGAAGACCTGAAGAGCACAAACCTGAAGAGATCACAACATTAATCTATATAGAGTGATAGTTAGAATGATAATAGAAACAAACCTATGATAGTTTGAGGTTAGTGAAAAAGCAACAAGGTATGATGAAACAATTGATTGATTGAGAAAGAGACCAATACAAAGTAAAGAGAACAATTTTATGAAGAGCAATTAGGTTTCAGATAATTGTGGCGCAAAGTGTGAAATGAATAAAGTATGATATAAAATAGAGAAAGAACTAGACAGAACTTAATAGTTCAATAGGGATGACCAGTGATATCAGGTCTGGCCAATGGAGAAATGGTCCAGCCTGTTTGTTGGGTTGGTTCATCTGGCGAGTCTGCTGTGGGCCTTTTGTTGAAGGGTGTGTGACCCCCCTTGAAATGTGCTACAGGGCCTCAAGCCAGGGCCTGCACAATCCAGAGACCATTGGAGATGCTCTAAGATTCAAAGGAAACTCCACAAAAACTGACTTCAGAGGAGCTGTAATTCAGCTCATCTGACCGCATCTTGGATGAATGGGAGGGATTTTTGCTGGCCATTGAGACTGTGTGCAGTTTCAAGTACCAGAAGTGGTTTGAAAAGGCTTCACTGCATTTCAGTGGAGGGAATTTCTTAATGATAGTAAAGCTCAAGTTTGTCAAAGATTGGATGTTTTGAAAAATGCCTGAGCCTCCCAGTGCTTCAACAGGCTTTGGAATAAAGAGTCATGCACAAAGGATCATGATGATCTTACCAGTGGTTTACCTCTTATGAAGAACTAATTTGAAGGTTTAATTCATCTAGATTTCCTTTCCAAAAGGTGTCAAATGATTCAAATATGAATTACATTTCTACCAGAACCCTAAACAAACTTTGCCCAATCATAAAACAACAATTTTTTTAGTGCAGGGATTCCTTTCAAGATCTGGGGGAACCCCAAACCAATTCAAGACCTCAAAAGCTTGATATTTTTTGGTTCAACATTAACATCTTCAAGGATTACAGATCCAACAGGAAGTACACCATTCAACCATTTTTGATTCTCAAACTATGTGTGAGTCTGATTAAATCAATACATTGTTACTTTGAATGGTGTGGGATGGTTGATGGTGTGTATTTAAGCAGTTCCTGGTTGATTTCTCTATCAAGATTCTTGATCTTCTCAAACACCATTCCATATAAATTCTTTGAAAGGAATGGTATTGATTCCTGGAACTGATTTGGATTTTTCTGAGAGTTATAGAAGGCCAAGGTTGTCACCTGAAGGACATAGTTTTCAAACTGAAATCTAGATCTCTTTAATGAAAAGTCTACTCTCTCTGATCTGATGTGGGGATACATAGAAATGGAGGAGTCAACTTCTGGTCTCCAATGTTCCCTCAATTGGGATCTGGGAGTTTTACCAATAACCTCATTCTCCTTTTCTGTTTTCTCAAAGTTTGAAATTTGTCGGTTTTTATTAGAGTCACTTATGTACTTGGAGTTCTTGCAAAGCTCTAAGATTCTATGTGGTATGTTCTTTTGAAATCCATCCTCTCCATTTATATGATTGATCACTTGCTTGGATTTCATATAAAGAGAGTGGAATAAGCTTGCTATTGCACCAATTGTTTCTTCAAAGATCCTAGTTTGATAGTATTCCACTTTCTCCTTGAATTCATCCATAAATCCAACTGGCAGATGATGTTCATAATGCCTTAAGAAAAAGCTCAGCATGTCATATAGAATTTTGAACTCCAAAAGCTTTTCATCAGTCACTCTTACTTCCTTAGACATAATCTGGGAGGAGATGTAGTTGACTAAGTTCTCAAAGAAGTCCTTCATTTTGTACATCAAGGCACTGCTGCTTCCAATGGTTAAGTCCAAGTCAAGGAAAGCTTTCCTTATTTTCTTGAAATCTGTGGTTGGTGATTTGTTTGGTGATTCAATAGTTGCCAGATGATACCTTTCTAGTTCAAAATGAACATATTGAAGTTCTATCTTTTTCCAAGTATCCTGACTGAGTACTGGATAAAATAAGCTTTGTCAGGTCAAACATAAATCGGAAATGTGCTAAAAATACTGTTTGACTGACACTGAAAAACAGGCCTCATATTTTTCATCAAGTCATCCTCAAGTAAGCTTAATTTTTGGTTGAAGTTCACATATACAGCACTGATGTCAAACGGGTAGAACCTGGTCTTGACATAACTCAAGATGAATTGGCCTTGATTCTCCTTGTTCAAGAAGTGAGAGAGACAGCAGTTTTGGATGATTTCATGTTCTTGTAAATTCAAAAACACACCCATGGTTAGATCAAACCACCGGTGGAGTATTGACATTGCTTGCAAAATATTTGGGCTTTCCATCACATCCCAGATTCCTTCAACTTCTGCAATAGCCGTGAGCCATCCTTTTTCCGAATCGCCGAGTTTGTTTCTCGAAAGATGTCCAGAGGTGGACTTGTATCTCCCCTCGTCCTCAGATACGCCGTGGTAGTCATTGGGGTCGGCAGTCCCTCTTTGGAACAGGTTTTCCACCGATTGCAGCACAACTTCCACATGAGCTTGAAGCCGAAACTTTTTCTGTTTATCCAATGTCAGGTCCACCAAATCTCCTTTCCATAAGCTGATAGCAGCTAGAGTTTGCGAACTGAGGACCGACACCCTTCTCCGCGCCCCTTCAGCCCAAAAGAAGTTCAACAAACGTGCAATCAATCTTCACTGGATGACTCAAACAAGAATTATAACTCACTGAAGTCCAGTTTGGGCTTCTTGTTCTGATGATCTGAGTGAGAAATGGCCCTGAAAGTCAGCTTTTGAGTTCGAAGAGAGATACAGTTGGCAGTGCTTGGAGTTGACAACTCTTACTGCCTGATCCACTTTCCGCGGTTTGAGGCGAAACAGCCAAGCCTTTTCGTCGAATGGTCATCAAACAGAATTGAATTAATGCAAAAAAAATCAATTTAAACAGCTTTGTTGTCGGGAGTAGGTGTATTCTCTTACTTAGGTCCAAGCCTATATGAGCTATTTCGTTACACTTTCTTCTTTCTCCGCATTGTTGCTCTTGACTATCAGGAGTGATTCTGCTTATATCAATCTTTCCAACTAGATTTGCAACCCTGTCGCTGGCTAGACAGGTTGAGCATCATTCATAAAAAGTTAGTTGCAGCGTTGTTCCTCTTAGCGCAGACCCAATGTGGCCTATGATCTAACCCACCTTCACCTGGTTCAATCGAATTGTGATCGGCGTTTATGATAGTCTTTCCCAAACCTAGTTTGAGGGTCTCTCTATCAAAACCCACAATGATTTGAATTCTACTTGAGCAGGCTAGAATGCCGATTTGCACGACCCAATTATAAGCGCGCATGTTCATAGACCCACTTGCAAAGGGGAAATCAGGAGCTCCGATCGAGTGAATAAACGAGGCTCGGGCTCTTGGAACGGTGGATAAGGCTGGACGGTGGGTACCTCGGACACTTCAGCGGGAAAGGCTGCTCGATTCTGGTTGTTTTTTAGCACATCAGGGTCAGTCGGGCGGGACGCAAGATGCGATAAAACTTGGCTGCGGGGTTTTGGTGAAACAGCTCCTATCAACCTCAAGCATGAAGTCGATCGTCATTTGATTTGATATGACAAGGAAGGACCGCCGAGGAGGAGGACGCGCCAGAGTTGATACTGCGCAATCGAGGGTCGATAGTGCGGAATCTGATCAGCCGGACTCTGTTCAGCCTCAAGAACAATTGGACCAAGCAAAAAGATCCTTGAGTCTATTATAGTTACAGTAGACTACATGGTTCGGGCAAGATTGGCATTCAAAAATAAGTGGAGAAGTCCGAAGCTGCCTCCTGTCCTCGATCTGAAAAACTATTCGAAAACCGTTCGCGCAGATGTTGCTGTGAACATACTTTATCGTTTCAGTATCGAGAAATGTCTGTATTCTTGCCGGTCTTCATGGATACTTTCTGGGCATTGAGGAAGACGAGCAAAGCTTTCTGACCTTTGTTTAACGCTTGAGGGAAAGTTTGTGCACTAGAACAAAAAACAGGCTGGAATGAAACCGCAGTGAGTGGGGAACCCTGTCTAACTTAAACAAGTCCCTCGGAATTTGGAGGGGAGGGGGGACGCTGCCTGTTGGTGATCAAAAATTCCAACAAAACCAATAAAGATGCTCCCCCAAATTCTCACCCGTTGCCACTCTACTATGCATAGAATAAAAATCGATTCTCCTTGAGATACACTGCAGAAAGCTGAAGGAAAATGGTTCTCTTAGTATTGCTTGATAAAATAATACAAAACAAAAAATAGAAGAAATCTTGTAAGTTATTTCAGTTGAAGATGTTAAGTTTGAGCAAAGACATTGGCAGCCTGGATAGCATTCTGAGTAGCAGTCAAGAACAATGTGTTCCAAGTGATAAACCAAGTTTTGAAATAAATCTGAGCTGAAACACCATTGATGTCTGGGAATAAAGGCGTCATGTAAAGTTCAGCAAGAGACACATAAGATTGAAAGTGACTGGAGAGGGCTTGGATATTTTGAATGAGGGAGGAACTAGTGTCGGCTGGTGGATCGAGATGCGCATCTTCCAAACGAAACACCAAGCTCATAACGGATTCTCCATATTCTTCGGATGATTTGTGTAATGAATACATTTGATGAGAACACATTTCTGTGAATAATGGTACCTGTTTTCGTTCCATCAATCCCTCTCGTAATAATTTTTGGAAGAAAAGCTTAGACAATTTGATGATTGGTATTATTGATCTAGCGAGCTGGATGGCTGCGTGGCTCATGGGAGGGTCGGCTTCTGGATGAGTCAATCTGAAATACTCTTCGTGCGCCTCGTAAGTGTCTCTTATTGGAATTTCCCAAAGATCCGGGATAATGTGTAATTCAGAGCCTTTCAGCCATTTGATAGTTTGATTGAATGCGGAATTGAAGAAACATAGACCACCTATGGAGGTTGGGAACCTCTTCCTTGCTGGGAGCTTGAGTTCTTCAATAATCCCACGGGAGTTACTAAGAAAATTGATGATGCCAAATTCTAAACGATCTCTGATGCAGTCGTCGAGGCCGTATAATCGATAGGTTTTGAACTCTTCGAAGTGCTGATCGTTTGTTTGGCTGGGTTCGGCTATTTTTCCGGGAATGATTTCATCAAGGGTTCGAATGATTTGATCCAAAATCCGATGAAGATTCGGTTGGAGTTCTAGAACACGCTGTATTTTGGGTGCCGGGTCTCTTCGCAATTCAATGAGGTCATCCAGAGCTTCTGCGATGCTGTTGAGATGTTGCCGTAGTAGCGGTAGCAGGCTCGAGTGCAACTGAGTGTGGATGTCCTTCTTCGAACGCAGTCGGCCGATCGAGAGATCTGCTGGAGTATCGCGTGTGAAAGTACTAGGCCAGTGAAACAGGTGCGCGGATAACAGCTCGAAGCCCTTGATGGCCAAGTCTATCATGCAGAGGTTTTTGGGAGTCAGTTGCTGCTTTCGCGAAGGTTCGGGGATCATCATTCTTCGATAGATTTTCTTGCCTTGCGTACCTCCTTGCTTCCAATCAAACTGCCTCATTTCCGGCGTGTCGGGTTCGGGCGAGTCCACGAGTCCATTGTACCATGCCTCCAATTGGGCCTCCAATTGGGCGTCTGGGTCGTCCATTTCCTTGCGAGCTTTGTCGATTGGCCAACCTCGAAGAGCCACATGTCGGCCTAAGCCTCATCCCCTCGATTTTCCAAAAAAAACAAAAAACAGTCTCGCCCACCCGGGGCCTCCGCGGGGAAGGAAGCCCCTGGTCGATTCCCCGGCCAAAAAATCCTGGAGGAGTCTTCTATAGATCTTCCATTCCAGAATCCGCATGGATCTTGGGAGTTCCAATATTCTTAAATGCACTTCAACAAAAAAGTGAAGGTTAGGGTGCACAACCGCCAGAAAAAAACATGATAAGAAAGCTTTCCATCTTTCCAGTCTGTGATTTTGTCGTCTACACCCCGTCATGGGCAATTACAATTCTGACCAAGAAGCCGTCTTGAGGAACTCTAGGCCTTCGAGGCTAACCCCAGGGACAGAAGGAGCTTCCGCCATCGAGGCCAAGTCGATCCCGGCCCCTGCAAATCAAAACGTGAATGGCTTTGTTAGAGAAATCGAAGCATCATCAGGGTAAATTATTGGAATTTTCCCTATCCTGACGAACGCTGTTACCCCCTTGGAAGCTCAGTGCGTGTGGTGGGAGGTGTGGGTTCGACTACGGAGTGGAAATACCCTGGTGGAACCCTGCCTGTGGCAATGACGACGCGCCCCCAAGTGGAACTCGGCCCGTAGCACTGGCAGAAGAGACTTTCAGTGAGGTTGGTTCAGGGTGTCTCTTGACCTTGTGTCTATCGACAGGCGGTTTGCTTTCTTCCATGGTGCAGGACCCGGTAGCCCTTTTTGATCAATCCTAATAGCAGCCTGGTGCATATAAAGCTGAAGAGATGATGCCACTTCCTTTGCAAACAGTACTCCTCTTCACATCCACAACCTGCTCCTTCTCGATTCATATTTCTTGCTCAAATCCCCCCATCACCTTTTCCCCTGATCCAGCCTCGCCATACAAAAATCAGCACCCAATCATGTACTCTCCAAAACTCACCATAGCTCTGATCATCAGTGTCACATGCGGTCTTGTAACAGCTCAATTCGGAGCTGTAAGTTACAACAACTTCTATTGCCCCAACAAGCCACATGTTGAAGGTCATTGCATCTGGACCCGCTACAAAAAGCCCAATGATCCCAAATCCGGCGTGGACTATTACTTCTGTAAGTCCTCCTTCTCATTCAATGCCCAACAGACCCAACTATTCCACTGGCATAGGCGCATTAAAGATTTGCACACCTATTTATAACTTTTACAATCTGCTGCTAGTGGATACCGCTGTGAAAATGAAACCGGGAACTTGGAACTGCGGTGTGAACCTTGCGCAGTGTTGCAGCGTCAATGACTCAGCTATGTCCGTGGTCAGTATGCCACATGTGCTCTCTCTTTCGTCCTCACCTGCCCATTGGAGCTCACGATTTTTTTTTTTTTTCAAAAAATCGTAGGACTCCAAATGGATGTCTAAGGAGATTGGTCGCTTGTGTGAAAACCCACTTTACGCCTAGTGAACGCAAGAAGCACGGCGGCTCCACACCCGATTTCTCTGTGGATCATGTAAATAAACCACAGCCATGTCTTCGATATTGTGCCCTCAACTTCTTGTGTGTCTTGTGTTGCAAGCCGCTGTCGAGCCCAATACCGTCTGGTATATAAAGATGTCAAAAATGTAAATAGCCACCGCTGACACGTCTCATTTCTATGTATGCCCAACTTCAACATCTTGTTTTCCCCTTTCTCAAACTGCGATCTGACCAAAACAAATTGAACTGCTTCATGAACTAAATCACGTGTAAAGAATCGCTTATATGTACCCTCCCAACGACTTTTAGCTGAATGTCTTGTGGACTGGGGCCATCGACCATCCAACCCTGCGTGGCAGCAGACCTTGCGACCCATGGTACCCGGAACAAGTGAGTATAACCCGATATGAGAGGAAACCGGGGATGATGAAGTACAGCATAAATTCGGGCGTGTTTGGTTGATATAAGGAAATGGAAGCCCAGAAGTGCAAACTTGTATACAATTCCAAAATCTACATGAGTCGCACTCGTAAAGGTATTAGACACACTAGGCTAGTCATATAGAAGATGAGGGATACCGTTTTGATAATGATAATTGGTCATAGTGTAGTGTGGAGTTGTTGGGAAAGTTGATCAGCTTCTCTGGCAACTCAAGTTAAAGATTAACCGAGAACTTTCAAAGCTAAAGCTTTTATGATCATAGGGCTTTTGGTTGGTTTCTAAGCTAGAGAAGACTTCGTATGCTGATTTTCCATTAGTGTCACTGTTAGCACCTCATCAATTGCCGACGAAAGATCCAATGGCTTATAAGCCTGGCAAATTGCCGACGATAAAACCTCATGTGACTCAGTGGAGATTTTTTTTTTTTTTCTTTTTTCACAAAAAAACTGTAAAGAAAAAAACAGCAATTATTAATTTACTTGGCTTGTAATGAATGAGACGAAATGCAAGAACAAGACAAAACAAAAGGAAAGAACGACAACTTTTTTTGAGTGATACTGGTAGTATAGAGGATGAGTCCGATGGGAAGATGTAGGATAGGACAGCCAAATCAAAGAAATTTTCAAGAGGAGCATATTATAATCGAGAAATGTTTTTCTGAATGAGTCAATCAGGTCACTTTTTTTGCTTCTTTTTCTCTTTGAGGGGATTTTTTTTGAACATTTAGGGTTAGAATGATTTTTTGGTTTGAAACGAGAAACAGGGGCGAGAAACCTTCAAGGTCTACCACTAAGCCAACTCAACCTACAAGTCGCCGGGAAACTAAATAATTAATAACTGAATGATATAAGAAGTTACATAAATGAACGACAAAAACAAAGAATCAGAAAAATCCCGGTTGTTGTACAGGGAAAAGTTGAAAGGAACTAGGAGGCAATGAGGAGCTCAAAACGGAAGCCACGAGAGAATCGATTAATGGAACTAGGAGAAGGAATCAAGACGGGTATTGAAGCAGACATTGAGTATGAGGCTGAGGTGAAGCAGACGATTATCGAAGAATCTCCAATCCGACCTGGGTTACTGAAGGTTGATGGGTCGAGTTAGGAAACGGTTGCATTCTCTGTGACAAGAGATTATTGATAGAATTTTCAAAGGGCAGTC